ATCATTCTGTACTTCTATCCATCCATCCATCATTCTGTACTTCTATCCATCCATCTATCCATCATTCTGTACTTCTATCAACCATCTATCATTTTGTACTTCTATCCATCCATCCTTCTGTACTTCTATCCATCCATCTATCATTCTGTACTTCTATCCATCCATCCATCATTTTGTACTTCTATCCATCCATCCATCATTTTATACTTCTATCCATCCATCCATCCATCATTTTGTGCTTCTATCATCCATCCATCATTCTGTACTACTACTACCATCCATCCATCATTCTGTACTTCTATCCATCCATCCATCATTTTGTACTTCTATCCATCCATCCATCCTTCTGTGCTTCTATCCATCCATCCAACATTCTATACATCCATCCATCCATTCATCCACCATTCTGTACTTCCATCCATCCATCCATCCATCATTCTATACTTCTATCCATCCATCCATCATCCATCATTCTGTACTTCTATCCATCATCCATCATTCTGTACTTCTATCAACCATCTATCATTTTGTACTTCTATCCATCCATCCTTCTGTACTTCTATCCATCCATCTATCATTCTGTACTTCTATCCATCCATCATTTTGTACTTCTATCCATCCATAAAGCTGTTTGACTAATCCCAGCATAAAGTGAGTTACAGTAGTCTAATCTTCTATTCATCCATCCATCCATCATTTCATCATTCTGTAATTCTATCCATCCATCCATCCAGCCATCATTCTGTACTTCTATCCATCCATAAAGCTGTTTGACTAATCCCAGCATAAAGTGAGTTACAGTAGTCTAATCTTCTATTCATCCATCCATCCATCATTTCATCATTCTGTAATTCTATCCATCCATCCATCCATCCATCATTCTGTACTTCTATCTATCTATCTATCAATCCATCCATCCATCCATCATTCTGTACTTCTATCTATCAATCCATCCATCCATCCATCATTCTGTACTATCTATCTATCTATCTATCTATCTATCTATCATTCTGTACATCTATCCATCCATCCATCCATCCATCATTCTGTACTTCTATCCATCCATCCATCCATCCATCCATCCATCATTCTATGCTTCTATCCATCCATCCAACATTCTATACATCCATCCATCCATTCATCCACCATTCTGTACTTCCATCTATCCATCTATCCATGATCCATCATTCTGTACTTCCATCCATCCATCCATCTTGCGATGTAAACAAAATTGTTTTTCTACTGAAAAGCTAAAAAGCGACATGATTTAAAAAAAAAGTGATGCTAACACCGTGAGAAATGTAGTTAAACTAATTACTTTGTTATTTGTGGCATCGCTACCTCTCAACAGTGCTAAGAGCCACAGCAGACGCAGGTAATCACACGCACCCGATCACCCTTTCTTCTCAAAATAACTGCTTAGAAGCAGTCATCAATACATTCTAAAGCAATGCTTTTGAACTAGTAACAGCCTGAAAAATTTCTTGAGATAAACATGTAAGTTGAATAACTGATTTCTGACTGCCCACTGAATTCATTAAAATGAAAAGCCAAACAGGCTGCACATAGAACTTGGACAATTTGCAAAGGAACAATGTGCATACAGGAGGAGAAGCCTCAAGAAAAATGCTTGACTATGAAAAAAGCATGACTATGAACTGCACTGCTTCAGCTCAAAACTTTGAATGAATATTTGAGAAGAAAAAAATAGAGGGCATGGTTCATTTTATAAAATTAAATTTATATGATTTTTTATTTACATTTAGTCTACATTTATTTTAATAAATTAAACTTAATTCTGCAATGGATTAACACTGACTATATTTATAAAGATCAAATACAGGTTCATACTCTCACCTGTGGGTGGTTTCAATGATAGATTATTCTCTTTGGCCCAGCCTAGGGGGCGGAGCCTGGTGTCAAGGTAGAACATCCACATGTCGTCGGATGAGTCATTTAATCCAACATAGCTGAGGCATAAACGTCCACCGACGTTACACTGGACTCGTGCCGCCCAGTACACGCTGGGTTCAAAGGCATCACGCACCTCCAAAATACAGCCTACCACAATCAGATCCACTGTGTTTTTACCTCTTAATGGCTAAGATGAGAGAAAAAGAGAGACAATTTTGACAATGTTTGACCATTTTCTTTGACAATCTACAATGATTTGATCCGATTTTATGCAATTATTAAAAGCTTTTGTTAATGTACTTTTGCTGCTATTGAGGTGTGATACGGGTAAGGTTAGGGACAAGTTTGGTGGTGTGAATTGGTTTAAGGGTTGGTTAAGGGGTCAAAAGCGTACAGGGATTAATTGGATTATACTATAAGAGATATAAGATTACTATAACATGGTTCAAACTGTTTATATTACATTGTTTTGAAAAATGATAAATTAAATGAAAATTGGTTTATTTTCTCCTGTTGATAAATGATTCAAGGAATATCCTGTTTATGATATACAGTAGTACACTCTAAAAAATGCTGGGTTAAATACAACCTATTCATGCACTCTAAAAGAATGCTGGGTTAAATACAACGCAGTGCTGGGTAAAATAGGGACAAACCCAGCAATTGGGCTGTTTTGACCCAGCGGTTGGATTAAATGTTTAACCCAACCTTCTGGGTAGTAACCCAACCACTAGGTCAAAACAACCCAATTGCTGGGTTTGCCCCTATTTTACCCAGCACTGGGTTGTATTTAACCCAGCATTTTTTAGAGTGTATGCTAATATCAGCGTTGAGGCAATAAAAGCATGTTTTGCACCCAAATTACAATGTTTGTTATGGCTTTAGCAAGCATTTAGCTAAACGTAACTAACCAATCTTTACACAAATGTTGTTACAGCAGCTAAAAGTCCAATGCCCATAAAGATAGTAAAAGATTAGTAAACATTTATAAATATTTACAAATGATGAATAGTCTCAACGTTAGATTGAGTACTGCAAAAGCATGAACAAATGATTAATAAATTATTTGTAAAGATGTTTAAATTGGGTGAATTCAGGTCATTTGGGACACATTTTGCCATCGAGATGACTGCTCATAAAGATACTTTATAAACATTTACAAATGATGAATAGTTTCTACTTTAGATTGGGTACTGGAAAAAAATATGGAAAAAAAAGTAATAAATTATTTGTTAAAATGTGAAAATAGTAGAAGTATACACAACAAACGAAGACCAAATATATGACCTTTACAGACTGTGATAAAGTTAATAAATATGTTTACATGAATAGTTTTTGAAGTTCTTAAAATGACTAATTAAGCTGTTTTTCACAACATTTGTAAATGTAAAAAAAAAAGAGTATTAGGTAATATGTGAGTCATTTGTTAGCATTCAAAAGTACATTAACAAATAAACTTGTAATCATTGTGTAATTGCTGTTAAAAAATTTTGAAGATTTTTTAAAAAAGTGCATGATTGTATGAATTGAAAGTACAGTGACATTTCTAAGCATTTCAATTTACATTAAATAATGATCTGTTAAGCATTATATAATGTTTGTTAATGATCAATGAAAGTTATTATAATGTTACCAGTAAAAAAAAAGTGTGTAATTCATGCTTTATCTGTGTTTTTCATAACTACTATTGTCTTGCTATCACAATGACAGGAAATGTTGTTTTGTTGCACAAGCCTGTCACATGATCTTTTACATAATATTCTTGTTTTTATTCACGTCAAATGAAATACGCCATCTACCCTGATTAAGGCCCATTCCATTTTTCCTTTCACCATTTTTCAGTGGTTTTCAACTGGTGGCTTACTGCCCAAAAGTAGTAATAAACAGAACTGTGGTATTTTGGCACAAATTTATCTGTCACTTGGTAAAATGGCTAATCTACAGTATGTATGATGTTTGGCACTTGCGCTGTTGATTAGGCATTTACAGGTTTGTTAATTGTTAATGTTAAGAACACTTAACATACGAGTGTAAACATACACACAAATCTCATTCTCACCCCTTCAAGCAGGTTTGCCGGTGCTGTCCGTGAACCTGTGAGCTCTTTGATGAGAAACTCAGTCCAGTCACTGTACTTCTCTTTAATAGCTGAAACAGATCAAGAAAGAAGAGGTGTAATGGATTTTTCACAATATAAATTCAAATTCACAGAAAATTCCACACTTTTGCATCTGGAACTGATGCATTATGTTGCTGTTTGAAAGTATCTACCATGTCTACGACTGACAGGAGTGTGTGTGTGTGTGTGTGTGGCTTTTACAGTAATAATAATCTCTATTAATATTTAAATTAATATTATAGCTCTTTATTTTCTGGCTTTTTCTCGTTTTTACCCCATAGTACATGGGTCAAAGATGCAACGTATCCAGTTGAACCCATTAGATGCGGCGCTGCTACGTTGTTCATTCAATATATTGCGGAAAACGAGAGCATCAGTGTGGAGAAGATCTTGTTTACGTCAAAACTGCAACCAAGCCGTTCACACAGAATGCATATTTATCACATTTTCTAGAGGGACATCTATCAGCGTTGCACTCGCGTCTGGCACAAGAGAGCGGCATGTTTAGAAAGCCATGTAAAATTTATGTTTTAACTTGTTAAACTTTTAAAAAACATGTCTCAAGACTTTATGGTGGTTTTTCCCCATCCCACTGTATCTCATGTTTTTAAATGAAGAAAGTAGCCTACTCTTTGTGATTGGTTTTCGGTCCTTTGTATTAAACTATACATACATGCATGGTGCTGTTTTTTTCTAATTGTTTAAGCAACTTTATTAATTATATATGGTTTATAAACATTATGCACTTTTTTTTTCAAAGATAGTAGTGTTATTTTACTACGCTTTGAAGAAACGTGCATAATATTTTGCGCGATGCGCCCTCTTGTGGCCTCAGGAGAGAAGCCAAAAGCTTTTTTCCCCCTAACTGAAATTATGCTTTTTAAATTCGAATATAATTCGAATTTTGATAGTATTTAAGTAGAAAATTCAAATTTAGTTTTTCAGTCATTTTGACAGCCCTAATTTGAGTTTCCCTTTCAGACGCAAAATTTATGGAAGGAGAGTATTAAAATGAATCATGCAACACGATTTACTAACGTTTGCGCTCGTCAAATTACTGGTATTTGCGCCATTATTTAACGCCCCAAAAAACATGTCTTAAACTATTTTGCACTTGAAATGGCTGGATTTGTACGGAGAGCACGTGGTAGAAGGGAGAGGATTTTTTCCGCATGTATTCATTTATTTGGAATGCCAGAAGAACACATTATTCGAATCTGAATATATCCTTATGCTAATTTGTGCTGCACTTGGTAGATTGCGTTGGTCATTATAGAAATTAGATGTTGCGTCTGTGTTCTTTAATTTGTGCGTTGTCTGTAAACCTCCCGCACTAATTTGCCCTGTTTAGTAAAACTGGCCCTAAATTGTATTACATTTTAAATGATTAAAAACCTGTTGCTGCTAAATGGGTAAAACCTAGTGGTTAGAAGGATAGTGTCAAAGATTTAAAATAACAATTAATTAATATTTTGGGGCTGCACTGTGATCCTTAAATAGAGTCTTTTAATGTCATCTAATGATTCTTGTTCTAAATATGCCTGACAAGATTTTTACAAACTATTGTTTTTTTTTTTCTCTAAATCATGGTAAAAATGTATGATAGTCATTCTTTTTTAGAACTAGAACTCAGAAAAAAAATAAATAAACAGGATGCATTCTAATGTACGGAAAAAATTGAAGCTGTATTAAACTTTTTATTATTATTATTATTAAAAACCCTTTTTCGTCTCTGACCCACACACATCTGCTCATTTCAAACATCAGTATACATCCACAGATTTATGAATATGCTATTTAATAGACTTCCTCTCTCAAACATCTTCCTACTTCCTGCCCCATGATGTCAGCCACATAAAATATTCATATATGCATTACGAATGTATATAACGACAAGTCAGTTCCTGCATTTTAGCATCTACACGGGCCTAAACGTCCTGCTTTCTGCATAATTGTACACAGTACCTCCACAGAGAGAAGTGCTAGTTAGTTACGTGTTACAAAAGAACAACAACACATTAATCATGACGCGTTGTGCACCGTTCGCACAAAACTGTACATTAGCATCAGCAGAATTCACATTGCTGAAGTTCTCAGTGTGGTTGCTGACTGTTAGCTTGACTCTGAGAGCCAAATAATGTATCTGCCCTGTTATGTCATGACTGCTTTACTCAATAACACATGATACCACTCATGAGGGTGTGATCTCTGCCCTGACTGAGGATTTGAGTAAACAAAGACAGAGAGAGAGAGAGAGAGAGACAGACAGGGGTAGGGTCAACAATTTGATTTTTTTGTATGTATAAAGGCTTTTTTAATATGCCAATATGCAAGAATAAGCCAAAAAATTTAAATCTCAGTTAAACGTAATAACATACTATGCCAACTGCCATACTGAAACAAAATTTGATATTGATTTATATTTGATTAAATTTTTTTTTATTATTTAAGGCCAATACTTTTACTGATGATATCTTACTTTTTTAAGGAAAGATAATCGTTTTGTTGAAGATGATAAATTGAAGAAGTTTTATCTTGAAGAGATATTTTACCTGTATGTATGTGTGTGTATACAACAAAACACAAATCAATATATTTGACTTGTTTCCAGTAAATAGCTATACTGTATAATTCCTAAAATAAATCCTTAAAACTAGATAACTTTTACCAGAAAAGCAGTACTGCATAAGATTTTCGGAGAATGTATTGTGATACGATTATTATACGTTTATTACACATACAATTACTTCAGCTTATTTTATTGGCAGAAGTGGTGGTTAACTTTTTTTGGTCAGACTTTATTTTAAGGTCCAATTTTTGCTATTAAAAAACCATTAACTACGACTTTTGCCTCAATAAACTACTAATTTGCTGCTTATTAATAGTTAGTATGGTAGTTGTTAAGTTTAGGTATTGGGTAGGATTAGGGATGTAGACAGTAGAATGCATCTCTTGGGGGACAAAAATGTACAATCGTTAGGCGATACAAATGTTTTCATACCAAAGACAAAAAAAAACTCATTAAAAGAACAAAACTCTCAAAAAAACTAATTTAACCTAATGTTTTATTATCATTTCCTAGAAAACTAATGTAAAAACTTTTTTTTTTTTAAATGCTGGAAAAAAGCAAAAAATAAGGAGAAAAAATGACTTTTAAATGGTCAGATCAAATCTTAATGATATTTCTGAATGAAGAGAGTGTAAATATGTTACTACATCATACTTTTAAAATCCTAAAACTAATAAAAAATTTTTTTTCAAAAGCATGCACTTTAAAAAAATGTTCTTCCTCAGTATTCTTGTCTTGTTTTCTAGTATAAATATCTAAACATTCTGATTCAAGATTAATTTACTTGAGAAACAAAGTGACTCGGGGGGCCCCGCCCCAGTTTCTAAAAAAAAAAAAAAAAACTTTCGTTCTATATTAATATTAACATATGCATATACATAAATACAAATATAAACATGAATATATATAATAACGTTAATAACGTTTATTAACGTTAATTCATGTTTTAATTATCATATGATGAGCTCATTGACGACTTTGCCTTCAGAAAAAGCAGGAGTGTGCCTTTGTAAATTTTGAAATTTGGTATGCTCCAGCAGATCAGTGTTGATTTTCGGAGTGTCTATTTACACTAAGTGCAATAGGCCGCCTTGTTGGCAGAAGCTATTAGGTGCATTCGACTTGTCCCCAGAATTTTCTCTGGGCTGAACTCGGGGCCTGGAACCCTCTCTGGGCTAAACTCAGGGACTGGAGCCCTCACTGGGCTAAACCTGGAGCCCTCCGTGGGCTAAATTCGGGAACAGGAGCCCTCCGTGGGCTAAACTCGGGAACAGGAGCCCTCCGTGGGCTAAACTCGGGAACAGGAGCCCACGCTGGGCTAGATTCGGGAACAGGAGCCCACTCTGGGCTGGATTCGGGGACTGGGAAGCGCTTACGAGGAGCTGGCACTGGAGGGTGCTCTGGAGGAGCAGGCACAGCAAGGCGCTTTCGAAGAGCTGGCACTGGAGCGAACTCAGGGGCTGGAGCCGACACTGGAGCGAGCTCTGGGGCTGGAGCCGACCGCCTTCTCCTCCTTAAATTCCCCTTTAGGTTCGGGGTGAAAGGCATGGTCGACGGGCTTGAGTGAGCCGCGGCCGGAGGGCTTGACAGAGGAACGGCCGGCGGGCTTGACTGAGCTGCGGCCTGCGGGCTTGACAGAGGAACGGCCGGCTGGCTTGGGAATGCTGCGGCCGGCAGGCTTGTCTGCTGAGCGGCCGGCGGGCTGGTTCTGACTCGGGCCCGGACACTCCCCAGACACCAGAAGATCCCTTCCCTCCAGCATAGTCCCTTGATGTCTGGGAGGTCCACGGGGCGATGGTAGTTGGCCCCGAGCCAGAACAGAGAATTGATGATGGTGTCATCCAATGCTGTCACTGTGGCAAGCCCGCAGAATTCCCTGGCGTACTAGAAGAAGGGGAGATTTCGGCGGGCTAAGGCGGAGAAACGAGTGGTGATTTCCATGATCTCGGGGGGAAACAAACGGAAAACCAAAACACTTTTAAAAACGGAAAACAAACACGGGGAGAGGGGGCGCCGCTTACTGTCCTTGGTCCGGTATTCTGTCACGATCGCTACTGTGAGGGAGCGCGGAACGAGGAGACGTGGAGTACATCAACAAGGAGACTTTATTTGCATCAAGGGAACCAGGAAAACACACGTAGCAGAGGAGGTTGACATAAACAGACATTCACAATACCGGACCCGAACTGATAACATGGAACAATTTATATACAAATGACATGACGATGGGATGACGAGACACACCAGGGATCAATAGAACTGAAAAGGGGACACCTTGAACAAATAAGGACAGGAACGGGAAGGACCAAATATGGGCATGGAAACACATGGGGAGCAAAACACACACAAAACACGGAAAGTGTCTGTAAGTAAAGGGTTTTGTGAAGTCTTTTCAGAGTCTAAGCAAGTTAGCATTAATTATTACATTATAATTAAAGGGATTAAGATTTATGGTTAAAT